TATATATACTGTGCAGAGTAGATTGAAAGCAGATCATCTAGACAAGAGTGCTCGATACATAAGCAGAGAAATATAAAATCAAAACAAGATGACGCTTGGTTACAAATTCAACATTATATTGCACTACAGGCTGTTTTATGAGGTACTCCCTCAATCATCAGGTGCTAGGCTCTGATAAGTACGCTGAGCCTGGGAACAATTTTAATTGATCTTATAAAAAAAATGTGTACTGTCACATTACTGGCAAGTTATATAGTATTGGTTATAATTACAGTATATGTGATCTGTTTAATTAGAAATTAGAATATTTTATTTTCACAAAAATAAATACTGTATTTTTATTATAGTAACATTATTACCATGACTATAGATAAGCCTATTTAATTATGCACCAATTTCAGTATACATGAACCATTCAACTACAAAACACATCAATAATATACTACGGTGTAAGTAATCACTTCTCCATGGTGGGCTGAGTATCGAAGTAGAAATGTATTTCCAGCCAATTGTGACTCCTGAAAAATCGAAATATCATCAGATTAAAAAAAAAAAAAAACTTCTGTATACTAAAAATAAAATCAAATTAGACCAAAGTAACTGGCGAATATTTGTATCATGATGTTGAATTGATAGTTATACTATACTCTATCTATTTACATATTAATAAATAGCCTGGCCTTATTTTTAAATTTATATATGCATAATAAAATTACAATAATAATAATAATTCCCTGTTGCTTTTTTCAATGCAGAAATGTGTCTTCCATACAGTCACTTTTAATATATTTTTTATTATAAAAACATAAGCTTAGTTTTCCTAGCTTCCCCCGAGAAGGGCGTGAGTATACATACTAGTACTATAGTTTCTATGAAATGATGCACTCACGGCCTAGTATAGGCCACTTATAAACACTCACCACAGCCACACAGCCCGCGGTAATGCAACGAGCACCGCCGTGCATTAGCAGAACACGTGAAATTATGATCCTTTTTTTAAACGTTTGTGGTGGAAAACTGAAATAGGGTACAAGACGATTTTTATATCATACTAAGCAGAAACACTTACTTTTTCGACTTATGGTATGTATGTAGAAAATTGCTGTTTGGGATGCAATCAGAAATTTGTAAGCAAATAACTGTCAAATTGTATCGATTCGACGGCTGTCACACAACCCTGGCAAAAACGTTGGAACGCGCAACTCGTACAAAAAATAATCATAAAATTCAATGACGTAAAGGTTCTTAGCTATATAAGGAAATGATTTTACAATATTTGGTTACCTTCCGATTTTCCAATGTTTATTCAACAGCTCTGAAAAAACATACAATTTATGCTAATAAAAACGCGCGAAACTTAAAAGCCTTTCAGTCGTGTGAGGGCGTCTAGAATCAATGACGTCACGTCGTGTTGAAAATTTTTACAATAACCGTCAAAATCTCCAACACGGCTCTCCGACTTACGTTTCGCTCGCAATGTTTCGAAACTCGATCGTGTCCTGGTTACGGTTCATAATATGCAAATTCTCGCCCCTTGTATGAACGCCGGGCTTATGTTAAGCACGGCTTAGCTCTATTTTAACGTAGCCTTTGATATCCCGAGATGTGCGTCTTTCGTTGAATTACCTTGGTTTTTAGAGTGTTTGCTGAAAATTTTATACTGTATTTTTGGTAGGTTACTTACCAAACATTTTTATAATTTTAGGGATAACTTTACATTTTATATTGAATAAAATTTCCGAAAGTCATTTTAGCAAGGATTAAGGAAAGGGCTCTAATTTTATGTTTTTGTATGGTGATGAATGTTCTTGCAGTTTACGAGTAATACACATTTGTGGTATCGTACCGTATCCATTGAAGTATAATGTTCTTAGACCAATGGTTAAGACTTTATAATCGAGGTACAATTCTTGCCCTTGGTATGGCTTTTTATCTATATTGCATATTGTTGTTATTATCACTATTGTGTGCTTTACATAGCTTTATTATCAGGTCAAGCCTCTGATACCGTTCCTGGTTAAGGCCAATAGTAATTGAAATCTTCCGGTCTTTGAGAACACGGTCATAATATTCGAGGTCGAAAATACTGTTTTTGTACTTCTATGGAATAACCGACAATGCTTACTATGTTTTATGATAGAAACAAAAATTGAACATTTTTTTTCGACATCGAAAATCAAGATGGAGAAAGAAAAGTCTATCTAAATAGTGTATTAGAATAGGCCTATTAAGTACAGAATTAGGCCTAACCTAATACTGTACACTATTTAGAGAGGCTTTTCTTTTTCCATCGTTATTTCCGAGGTTAAAACATTTTTTTTAACAGTCGTGTAAAATAGTCGTTTAAGGACATTTTTCTGGAAAAAATGAATGTGACACGACCCTCCACTATGGAGGTATGAATTTTTAAATAACATGAGGTCAAGAGATTAGCCTCAAAGCTTATTTTTATTGGTTACGCACCACTGACTGCGGTTGTTTGTCATCACTACAAGACGTCTACCAAATCGTGGAAAAGGCATATTAAAATAAGAAATATTGACATTTGTGAGCAATACATTTTATTTTTATATAAGTAGTGAGTATATGAATAAATTTAATGCATTAGTTACAGAAGTTGATAACTTCATTCTAATTTGTTTTGGGCATTTTTCTTTATTTTTATAAGCCGTTAGACATTACCTTGGCTAGCATATGTGATGTTCATTGTAATAATACTACAAAACAAAATCACATCAATTTAAAATTAAATTTGTGAACATACTTACCTTATATTTTAACTAGCAGGTGATTTTATTGGTAGATTTGTTTTCTTTTAAGTGTGTAAGTATGATTTGCATGCCAAGTGAAATTAATACAGTTATTTTGCTTTGTTTTACCATACCGTAATTTTCAGCAAGGCCTAGCTGTACGCCTACTAGCCGATACGCAGTGTGGCTAAAGACATTTTTGTTTTTCTGGGCATGTGCAGATTGTGCTTATCTAGCTCATTAGCATAAAACTACCACACATAAAACTTATTCGAGTTAGACGGCTTAAACTAGCCAGCTTCCTATTCTGCTAACAGATTTCCTGGTTTCATATATGTCAGAAGTTTCTTCCAGTTACCGTAAAACCAGACAGTCGTAAGATAATGTTATACATTTGGTTTCTATATCTGTACATTGTGTCAGTTTTTGGTCAGACTGACTTTAACCATGAAGTATTTCTTGATAGCAAGGAAAATTTACAACTGCTTTGGAGGATAGAAGAAGATACAATTGTGTTTGAAGTTCGTGCTAACACGACTGGTTATGTTGGGATTGGATTTTCAAGTAATGGTGGAATGAAAGGAGCAGACATCATGATTGGATGGGTTAACAACGGGACGCCCTACATTTCAGTAAGTCACACCCATAAAACTTTAGCCATATTATATTTTTGCTCTTTTTTTCAAAAATATTCACAACACACAAAATCAACTTTCAATACAAAAATTGTACTTTCTAAGATAGAATATTGTAATTGAAGCCATTATTTTACACTCGTTACATTGATGACATTTTTTTTATATGGCCACATGGAGAGGAATCCCATAAACTCTTCATTTGCAATTTCAACGACGCTCACCACAGCATCAAATTCACATCCGAACAGTCCGTCAGCCAAATACCATTTCTTTGATTTGCATTAATAACAACAAACTTACTACTACTTTGTACACTAAACCTACGGACAGTCACAAGTACTTGGATTTCAACAGTTCCCATCCCGCAAGTATTAAACGATCCATAGTATACAGCCAAGCTCTACGCATTAAACGTATACCGTACCGTATGTTCCACTGTTCTGAATATAACAGATATATTAACACTCTTATCTACAAATTAAGCCAAAGCAGCTACCCGATTCCATTCATCAACATTATGTGTATATATATATATACATATATATATATATATATATATATATATATATAATATTATTTATTTGCACTAATGTAGCCTTTATATTATTAGTTGGCCAAAACGTGCTGTAATACAAAAATTTATTTAATTGTACCAAAAGTAGCCTTTATATATCTTTATGGCGTTATTATTCCTATTTTCTATCTTAAAACAATATTTTTAACGATTAATGGTGGTTTCTGCCTGAGAAATGCCAGAAATAATAAAATTTGAAGGTTGATTTCTCAAATGTTCCTTTAAACAGATGTATGTTTAAATCTTCCAAAATTATAATACGATCAATTGCAAATTAAAAAGGGGCAAATATTAAACACTTCAAATAAAATAATTTAGAAAAAACGTAGATAATTGTAGAGTTAACTGAACTGAGACACAAATTTGTAAAGTAACAGAAAAACATCGCAACAGTCACACAAAAGAAGGAAAATTTTTCGAAAAATTTTGTTGAATTCACAATTTCAGAATATTCATAATAAATAATAATTTGAGTGAGGACAAAATTATTTTTTTCACAATTTACTTCCAAAACGACTGCACAAAATGTGAAAGAAATTATATTGTAGCAGAATCCGTGTATGCGTGTTACTATTAAGAGCATTTTCAAATAATGACTCTTTCAAATAGAATTTATTAAAGTAATAATGTTACATTAACACGAATCAAATTATTGAACGAGAAATTGTCACGGTAAAAAAGCAACACATTCTTCACAGAAGAATTTCAAGCAAAATCCGTGTACCAATTATCCCATCGAGGCAATGTTGCTCCCCATATAAGTATGCGCAGATACTCAAAGACAGTATGTTGAGCATCAGCACCTTCCACCCCAGGATAAGCCCAGGGCTCCATTACCGTAAACTGCAAAAGGAGCAACATTGCGTCGACAGAGAAAATGGTATCATGTTTTTATTTTATTTTTTTTTTGTAAAAAAATATCAATTCAACTGGGAAACATCAAGGTAGTGTATACGCCTCGGTGAAAATCCAAATGACTTCCAGAAGAATTTCGAGCAGAATCTGCATACCAATTGCATTATAAGGCAGTTTTCGCCGCGCGACGTTAACCTTAACGTTAACGGATGACGTCATAATTTATGCATCTTGCGTTGTGAAGTACGTTAATTTCAGGATTGTACGTGCTCGACTTACGTAGTTACGGGTTTGGGCATGCGTATTTCGATTTGCTTTGCAAAAAGGGCGGAGCTATCACTCTGCATGTTGAGTACTACGTTAAAGTTAAGGTTAACGTCGTGCATCGAAAACTCCCTAATAGCTCAGTTAGCCACCCTAGCAACGAAATATTCTATCACGATGTACTGTTTGTAGTAAAATCACTCCAGCCTTGAGCTTTATCCAAACAAGACGCAAAAAAAAAAAAAAAAAAAAAAAAAAAAAAAAAAAAAAAAAAAAAATCGGAGACACTACATATCGAATTAGCGAATCGATAATAGGAAATGTCAGTGCAAATGATGATGTCAACACTAACTTATACATACGGAAGCCCGTTAGTGTCACCAGTGAATTAAAATTTAAGAACCGTTAAGTGGCCTAGTTTCGTAAACAAAATTATATAATATTATGTAATAATCAGCAATGCTGTATACAACTAAAAGGTTATATAGGGCTTGTTACTACGGAAGCCCGTTAGTGCCACCAGTGAATTAAACTTTAGGAACCGTTAAGTGGCGGCCGCCACATATTTATCTAGCGGCCGCCATTTAATTATCTGACGGCCTGAAATTTTAACTCACTGGTGGAACTAACGGGCTTCCTAACTGGCGGCCACCACCAGATAATAAGTGGCACTTGGGCAAAGATGATGTCATCACAATTTTTTTGCATAATTTATTTTATTATGAAAAAATAATAAAAAGTAAATTTAATTTATATTTCATTCATTCTGAGTTGCACAAGGCAATTTCATAAGTTGAGTAACTCACAGCTATAGAAACTATATACACACACTTCTAAAACCGTATAATATACATTATTATACAATTATAACATTAGGTATATGAGACCGAATATAATATAGTCGGTCTAATATAGCTACAAAATGACAAGTTATTCTTTTAGGTAAAACGATCTATCTTAAATTTTCTTTCTTGAGTTTGGGACTATGTGTTATAACTTAGAAGGCAAAGGGGAGCAAGCACAAGCTTCAACAATAAGAAATGCGCGCGAAGCGCGCGAAAAGTTTTTTGTTTTTTTAATTCTAATTTCGTCAGAATTGATCAAAACTCCCTAAAATGTGCAATTTTTAGAGGAAATTGGCCTACCTCAACAAAATATGCGATATAAAATTTGAGATTTTCAGGCACTTTCCCGGGTGAAAAGGGCATTCAATGGGCTTTCGCGGGTGAAAAGGGCATTCAATGGGGAAAGACTTTCCACAGATGGATATTTTCCCCTTGTCCCTCGGTGGTTACGCCACTGCGGAGAATACCTGGGGGCTTAGATCAAATGCGCTATGGACACTTTTTTAAGTGGAGAAGGGGTTGCAGGCCGGGGTATTGTAGTATCTGTTCATTATATCCTTTTTATTCTTGTCTTTATTTTTCTCTTCTCCTCTTCTTTTCCTTTTTCCTTTCTTTTTCTTTCATCTCCCACAGAATGATAACAATATAGCTAATTATATTATAATTATGCACTCTTATTAGTCAGAATTAAATCAGAATATAATTAACGACAGGTAGAAACTCAGCTTTATATTACAGATTAAAAATGAATGTGATGATAAAATTATTTAAAAAATCTTTATAAAATGTTCATAGAATGTACAACTGGATGAAAGACTTTGTGTTCATACAGTGTTGACTATTGACTTGGGCGTAATTGGTGAGGTTTGCACTGTGTGTACCCAGAGTGAACATATAGTGACAGTGTGGTTGTGTAAAACCCACTTCCCATTGCAACCTACCATTAACATCAGCTAACAAATTAATGTTTTTTATTTGTTTCCCCTAAGCTCTGGAACTGCATTAATGCCGCTGGGGGTGGGGGGAGGTCCCGTTGTTCTTCCACGGAAAATGTTGATTCCTAGGTTGGGAGAAATGAGCTTTCCCGACTTCTGTTGTGTCTTTTAATGACTTTTAAATTCTTCAAAATTGAATGATGATTCAAATCAAATGATTCAATTAATCAACGAACTCCAAAGATAAAAGGGGTCCGGGTTCCCCCGGAAAATTTTCGATTTCTAGATGGCGGGAGATGAGCTTACCTGACTTCTGAAATGTCTTTTAATGACTTTTAAAGTTCTTCAAAATCAAGGTTTTCCCCTCTTAAAAAGGTCAGGTAAATTTTTCTCATTTTTTATTTTATGTGTGTATACATACATAAACAAATGAGTAGTTACATGCGTATTCCTTTTTCCATGAATCGATAAATCCCAAAAAGAAAGGGGGGTCGGGGGGTTCTCCCCCGGGAAAATTTTGATTCCTAGATGGCAGGAATTGAGCTTTCCCGACATTTGAAGTGTGTTTTAATTCTCTTTCCCATCCTTCTCCTTCTTCCCTCCTTCTTTTTTTGCATTTCCGATCATACAAAAATCTCCAGACATTATGTATTTTTCGCCAAAAAGTGGGGGGGGGGGCGGGCTCCCCCGGCCCCCGCTTCCGCCGGCCATGAGCACCCTAGTATTAGGTTTTCTCAAACAAATGTGTTGAAGCCATTCAAAAATACCATGTAGGGTTAACCTAGAACGTGAATATACTAATTATGAAGAAGGTCTTTGTATTATCATTCTCCAATTCTTTGAGTAGGAAATCTAATATAGCTCATTCATCCTATTTATTCCCTCATGAAACTATATATTGTAATCGCCATTAGAGTATTTATGTATTGATCACGTGTCAGGTGTATGCCTAATGTAACAGTCTGAACTTATTATAGTCATTCTTTATATTTATCTTATATATTTATATATACTCTTTATATATATTATTTAGGGGCAGCCTTACGTTCCCATTCTATAAAATGTTTAGCATAACAATATCAACGGGTGGCTGCCCCATTACACGTTTTATGTTATGTATATATTAAATTGTTTTTCGTCATTGAATGAAATGACAATTTCCATCCAATCCTGGTGTTTGCTTTCTTTGTTTCGTCTTGTACTCGCCTCCTGCGACATAAATCATAATACCATCTGTCCAATCCAGGCCAGGTTCCTCCTGCGACATAAATCATAATACCATCTGTCCAATCCAGGCCAGGTTAATATGAACTTATAAACTTATAATTTATAAGTTTATGAAATTTCAAACTTATAGTTTAACTAGATGAACACTTATATATTATAGCCAGAGAGTCCACATGACAGTTCTGCAACAGGGAAAGAACTAACACCCCTCTCACAGTTCATTACTATTTCAACATCGATAGTTTTAAATATAAGCTACAGTACTTGTATGTAAAAGAATTCTCAACATGACAGATGGCAATCCTAATTAAATAAGTCTGGACCAATCATACACCCAGAACACATTTACCACAAATCCAATAGTGTTATGTTTATATATACACTCATTGTTACCAACATTTAAATTACTATGAGATTTAATAAATGGAATATGGTTCTCTCGTCTGATTCTAATTCATATCTGAGTAACCTATATTCAATTCATTTTGCATAATAGATAGCCAAGAAACTGTAGAGAAATAAAGCATACAGTTTTTAGATTTGTCTTTTTGTTTTTTGGGGTTTTTTTAGGTCATCAACAAGTTAATAATATCTTATACACATGCATTCGTTGTATTTATCATTCATTATTATTTTTTTCATTTCAAATCTTGATTTCCAGGACCGACATGGCATTGGAAATGTAGAGCCAGAGATTGATAATCAAGGTGATTATGAATTGTTGTACGGAAATGAGACAAATGGTTTAACGATAATCGGATACCAGCGTAAACTTTTAACCTGCGACAAAGATGACTACGATATAACTGTAAGTAAGCTCAAGAGACGCTATTAATCAATTCACTGGCTTATCTTTAAAATAAAAGTAGAATAAATAAAAGTATATCAATTGAATTGTACGTGCAGCTTAGTTCTCTGAAACGATGAGTATTCAGGAATACTTTGACTTTATTGCACTTGCGTATTACATTTATTTCAGAGGCGTAAGGTTCTGAGGGGCCCTATTTTGAGAGTACCGTCGGGGTCCTCGACGCATTTATAGATAGTTATCCATATTAATGTCATCCCCCGCCGAAAATCATTCCGGGGCGTGAGTCTATTTATGATATTGATTATTGTAAAATTTGTTATTTTTTTCATTAAAGTAATGTCCCGCCGGGCCATCCTGATTTTTAGTCTTCGGGACAGCAATATTGATTACTAATGTATTATTACATACGGTACTGTACTAGACTGGGTGCAGTAGGAAATTAGCGGGAAAAAAGTAAAGGAAAATTTATTTTTTGTTTTTCTGAATCAGTATATCATAGTGTCTCAGAAAAAAATCCCCATTCTTAGAGCTTGGGCAACTTTTTTTTATAGCACTTTGAAATTTTGAAATAAAATATCCTATTTTGGACTAATGTAACTTGAACTTGGCTAAATAGTTACTCTTCACTCTCGTAAAAAAAATTATTATATATACATATATATACATATATATATATATATACATATATAATAATAATAATAATAATAATAATAATAATAATAATAATAATAATAATAATAATAATAAACTATCAGAATATAAACTCACTGGAAAAAGAAATAGCGAAATTTTGCTCTGAAAGACCCAACAATTCAATTTCTGGACTCGGATCGGGGTAAATTGAAATAACAACTATGGTATTATTTTAGTTACTTCTAGTTTTGCTGTAAATGTGAAAATTGACAATAAACTTAGTTAACTAGTTACTCTTTACTGTCTTTATCAAATTTGAATAAAATGATCATAATGCCAATTTCCAAGATGGCGTTCATCTTGGTGGGGAAAAGATTATTATTATTATTATTATTATTATTATTATTATTATTATTATTATTATTGTTCTCAAAGTATAAAATGCAATCTCATCAAAGCAATGTACACATATAGAATATATATAAATATTATTATTTTAATAGTAGTATATGCCTATTTATTATTGTTGAAATCATTATTAATATTATTATATTATATATTACTATATTATATTCTTATTATTTAAAAATTATATTTTATTATTGAAATGAATTAAAATGTTAGTACTGTTATATAATAATATTATTTATAATATTTTTATCACCACTATTGGTATCATTACAGTATTATCATCATCCGTCATCATCATCCTCATCCTATTCGTCATCATCATTCTCATTGTTGTCTAATCATCATAATCATCCTTACTGTCATCGATCGTTGTAATCATCACCATCATCATCATCACATCACATCATCGTCCTCATCTTTATCACGTCCTCATCGATCATCTATCGTCGTTATCATCATCATCATAGTCTTCATCCTCCTCCTCACCCTTCATCATTTTCTTCATAATCATACTCATCATCATATTCATCCTCATCCATCATCATCCTCGTCATCATCAATGGTGTAGCCAGCTATTGGCACAGTTGGGAAAGTCCCACACCATTTTTCTAATAGGTCCACATTTTAAAAATTGGTCCAAATTATGTAATTTTATGCATAAAATGGATTTAGATTTCTCATATTTTTGCTTAAAATGGGTCCAGTCCACATTGTTTAAATTTACACGTAAAGTGGGTCAACCCTGATATTGTCCCACACCGTTTGAAAATCCTGGCTATGGCATTGATCCTCATCCATCATTGTAACCCTCATCACCATTCTCAACAATCATCGTTATCATCATCACCATCACCACAACCTACTAATCATCCTCATCCATCATCATCCTTATCCACATCATCATCAACCTCATCCTTATCCTCCTTATCATCATCACTCATTCATCATTAATCATCATAGTCCTCATCATCATCATCATCATCATCCTTTTTAATCATCATTATCAATTATCATCCTCATCATGAGAATGATGATGAAGAGGAGAACGACAAGAATGAAAATGAGAATGAGGACAGAGGGGATGTTTCTCATTCATCATCACTAACCTCATCAACATCATTCTTAACAATTATCCTTATCATAATCACGATCATCCTCATCAATCATAATCATCATCATCCTTATCTTCATTATCATCAAACTCATCATCCTAATTCTCCTTATCATCATTATCCTCACCATCCTTATCAGCATCATTTTCTTCCTCATCATCATCCATCATCAATCATCATCTACCACATCATCTTCCTTCTCCTCATCAACTGCATCATCCTCATCTTCCTCATCATCATTCTTATCTTCATCACCATAATCATAATCATCATTACCATCACCCTCATTATTATCGTCATCCTCATCACCTTCCTGATTACTGTCATCAGCATCAACATTACCATCATCATTTTCATCATTATCCTCTTCATCATCAGTCACCATCATCATCACGAGGATGATGATGAGGAGGAGGATGACGAGAATGAAGATGAGGATGAGGATGAGAGGGATGATTCTCATCATTCATCATCATCATCATCATCATCATCATCATCATCATCATCATCATCATCATCATCTTCATCATCATCATCATCATCATCATTCTCATCAATCATTTTCTATTATTCTCATCACCATCATCACAGTCATTATCATCAACAACCATTATCATCAATCATAATCACCATCATCTTCTTCCTCACCATCATCCTAATCATCTTTCTTCTCCTCCTCATGATCAACATCCTCCTTATAATGGGGATTATAATGAGGATGGGGATGACAATGAGGAAGATGATGATGATGATAATAATAATAACATCAGTATAGTAAGAATAACAGTACTAACGCTAATATTAATGTGAATTATAAACTATAATTTTTTTTGAAACGCATAAGAATAATTATATAGAGTACTATATTATAAATATTATAAAGTAACAACATAATAGTATAATAATGATGATGAAGAAAAATGTAGTGTAGAAAGATTAAATTTAAATAGGTAAACATTTCCTTTAATGTTGATTGTAGTAGTCTTGGAATTTGGTGTGTTGACGTCACCATTCCAAATTTGCTTGGGAGGTGGGGAATTCCCATCAGACTCCCATCGTCCGATGCCTCGACAAGGTTGCCACACCACAAATAATGATTTGCTTATCCATAAAACATTAATTTGGTTGCCAATCCCTAATATTTTGGCTTAAAAGCAAAATTTTGGGCCATACTAAGCTTTAAAAAAACCTCTCCTATAAGCCCAGAGATTTTTTTTCCGGGACTCTGACCGAGGGTCTAGTTGGCTCTGCGTTTGGACCCACCCTGTCAAACCCCCTGGGGCCACAACTGAACGACTATAATGGGTAAGTATTTAACTAAGGTCATCTCTGTTTTTACAGTTATAGAAAAAAACCCTAAAAGTGACTAAAAACATAAACATGTTTTCTATACCCCGATCCAAAAATTGGTATTTTAAAGCAAAATTTCACTATTTCGTTTTTTCGTTGAGTTAACTTTGTAGTAGTTCATCAATTATATATATACATATGTTTTATTTTATTCCAGTATGTATAATATTGTATTGAGATTGTATTGTACTTTGATAACAATAAAATTATTTTTGCAATAAAAACATAGTTTTTCCCACAATAATGGACGGCATCTTGGAATTTATCATGATGACGTCATCATTCCGATCAAATTTAGAGTGATGAGTAACTATATAGCCAGGTTTTTGATACATTTCATATCCACAGTTAATGTAAAAGTGACCAAAAACATAAAGTTATTTCCCCTACCCCCATTTTAAATAGTTTAAAGTAGGGTATTTTAGGCCAAAATTTCAAAGTGCTGTAAAAAAAATTGCCCAAGCCCTAGGCATGGGGATATTTTTTTCTGAGATACTATAGGGTATGTTGATTCAGAAAAACCAAAAATTAAGTTTCCTTTATTTTTTTCCCGCTAAAATTCTTTTCAGCAGTTTTACAACCAGGCTATACCGGTTATATAGTACTTTCACTAAATCTTGTCGGTCATTATTATTTCGGAGTCTCAGTAGGTTTGTAGATAATGATTATTTATGGAAGTACAAGTACTGTACCACTATAAAGTATGATAGTTTAAAGTGAAAAGAAAAACAAAACAAAACAAAACAAAACAAATAGGCCATATATTTAGCGTTTGAGTTGATACAAACTGGCACCATCTCCAACATGTTTGTATATTTTCATTTTCTGTCAGTAGAGAAAAATACAGCGCCAAAAACCAAAGGTTATTACAGTGAAGCAATGGTCTGATGAGTAAGTTGAACAGCTACAATTTGAGTTCGAGACAGACTGGAACATCATCAAAGAGAACAGTACAAACGTGAATGAACTGACAAAAACTGTTAATGTAAATTTTTGTACTGAAAATGTAATTCCAGTCAAGAAAATAAAAGTTTATGGTAATTTTAAGCCTTGGATAAACAAAAATGTTTTAGAAGTGATTAAGAAAAGCATTTAAAAATGGTGATACACCTCAAGTTAAAATCATTCAGAAAGAATTGAAGCGAGTAATTCGTAAAAACAAATTTGTATATAAAAATAAGGTTGAAAACAAATTTAAATGTACTGATGCTAATAATGTCCAATCCATATGCAAATGAATTAAATAAGTTCTTTAATAGATTTAATAAACAAGAATGCATGGGTTAATGTTTGGAACTTAAACATAAGATTAACGATTCATTATATGATTGTGAAAGAGTTGAAAGGCTTGGAAAACGACCTTAAACAGGTTGCATTGATGTCGGTACCTATAAAAGTGTTTGAAAAATTGTACTTTAGTTTAAAGCTAACAGTTTCAGATCATCTTGATCCTCTCCAGTTTGCCTACTGTGCTAATAGGAATACTGAAGATGCAATACTGTATAAACTTCAGAGAATTTATTGTCACTTGGATGACTGGAAAACTAATTCATGTGTGAGAATCAGGTACTTTGACTTTTATTCGGCATTTAATACAATTCAGCCTCACATTCTTATAATTTATTTGATTTGAATGTTCGTAGTGTATTGATTTCGTTTGTTTTTAATTTCCTGGTCGACCGTCTTCAGTACCGCTACAAAATAACGTTATTTCCGATACGGAGTCTATCAGTACTGGTGCACCACAGGGTACTGTCTTGGCCCTTTTCTTGTTTTCGATTTACACGTCAGATTTAAGGTGTTGTCCAAAATTGCGGATGACTCAACATTGATTGGTCTCATAATTGATAATAATGATTCCCTGTATATGTCAGAAATTGTTAGAATCACTGAGTATTGTGGAAATAATTTTCTTGAATTAAACATAAATAAGACAAAAGAAATGCACATTGATTTCAGGAAAAATAACGGAACTGTTCCGAATAAAATAAACATTAATGGTCAAAAAGTGTAGATTGTAGATTCCTAAAAGTATCTGGGGGGTGGTGTTTGACAATAGACTATCTTGGAAGGATCATACTGATTCTGTAGTTAATTAAATAGTAGACTCTATTGTCTTAAGAAGCTTGGTTCTTTTGGGGTTATGCAGGACATATGTTTGATGTTCTACGTATCGGTAATGTTTTTTGTTGGGGGGTAATTGTATGTTAGGGTGGGCTGGGAATACTAGTTGTAGATAGAGATAAAGATAAAGAGAGAATAGAAAGCGTGCTGGATAGAGTGGGGAAAGTTATTGCTTCGCCTGTGCAGTCACTGGACTCATACTACCACGAACGGCTTGCCATAGTTTTTAAAATATCTTAGGATAACAGCCATCCTCTCCACGCGTATATGATAGGCTCCCGCATAGGCAGAAGTGGTAGAACGAGGAGTGAGTGCGGATACGGACCGTTACAAGTACTCATTTTACCCAGCTGGGATAAGGGAGTTTAATTTAAAGAATGCAAGAAGATAATTAATTAATTAATTAATTTTTTAGCAAGTGAGCAACGTAATTTCCATAATTATTGGACAATAAAATTAATCTGTATCTGTAAGTCCAAACGTGCTCAGAGTTATATACTCTTTGGTAGCCCTGTAATTGAAAAACACTGTTCTTCTGAGTTCAAGAAGGTAAAACCAGTAACAGTGAAATTTCAAATTCCACAAAAAAAGGGTTTCGAAAATCAAGCTACAACGCTATTAATAATTATTATTCTTGTTAGCTCAATGGTGAACCAAAATGTTTGAAATAGAGAAGCTCAGTTAGGGACTTTTTTACAACCCAACCGAATTAACCTACTGGACACCAAGAATGACATTCATATAGGCTGTCTTATCAATGAGATGAAATGTTTTGAAATTATACATTATATATTTAGTTTAATGGTGATCTTATGAATAATTAATGATATATAAGCAGCCACAATACATATTTCAATATTTTAAACATATATATATATATATATATATATATACGTAACTGCAACCATAATAAGAACAGCTACACGAGCAACAATTATAACAACAGCAGAAACTACAACTACACAACAAACTAAAACAATAACTACTGCAGATAGATAGACAGACAGTGGTGAATAAATAATAATGTCTGTCTCTTATACACATCTAGATAATAATGAAACAAACGCATCTAGGACTGACTTCACAGCCCGTGAACAGTGCAAACTGTATCAGTGGCAAACTAGATAATGGTCAGAGTGTGGTTCGAACCTTCGGTCAGGAGGTATGAAACCTTAATGGAGAAAACCTGCAAAATACCACCATGAATAAATGAAAGTTCTTTATTTTAGAGTGATACTGTGAGAGTGATTTGGTCTTATCATCCCGAAGACCCCGAAGACATGAAGGCAACATACCACGGTCCGCAGCAGCGAGGTGTAAGATCGATCATATTCTTGGATATAAGACCTTCAAATCTAAAATCGTTACCAGAAGATGTAAAAGCATTTGATATATTAAACAACAATGTAAGTAAGCCTATAAAAAATGTGGTTAAATTGTGTATGTCATTCGTATGTCTTTATCAATTTATACTTAATCAAAACGTAGTATTTTACATAGTATACTACTTGAAAACTGTATTTATAAAATGTATATATTAAAATTGTTCTTTGGCAGACTCTCGTACCAAGTGACAGGGCAACTACCTACTGGTGCACTCATATAGAACTGCCTGCGCTGCTAACACCACATCATATCATACGGGTAGGCAAACTTAACATAAAATATTATTTTTGCCGCACTTGAACTCTTGTTCCGGATATTTTTTTTTTCGTTTTCTTGCGTAGATAACACATTATGTTTAATCACATTTTCTTTGTTGAAACATAGAATAGGTAGGCTATACATACTTGAGGATAAATTTTAATTATTATGAATATTACATTTGTATAAAATACCAAACTTTTATATTTTAGTACTAAATAATGCTATATCTCGTTATCCTTTCAGATTGAACCTATAATCCAGCCAGGAAACGAGGGTGTTGTTCATCATTTGGTTCTACGTTTGTGCTATGGACTGCAAAACATTATTGGAAGTAACAGTTTGAACTGTGAAATTAATCTTATGTATCAGTTCAGGTTCTGTTCTAAAACAATGTATGCATGGGCAGCTGGAGGTGGAGTAAGTGCAGCGATATTACCTTGTAATGTGAATACAATAAAATGCAAGCTTAACAGGACAAAATTCCCTTCCTGCGATTATTAATAATAATGAATATGATGATCGAAAACGACAAGTGTTAAACCAACTAAAGAAACAACTACAAGAGCAACAACAACAGTAACTACAGCACAAATACAAACATCTACAACAGTAGAACAGCAATAACTATTACAACTTTAACAAAAAATATTAATAACAACTATAATAACAACAGCTACTACTTCAACAACAGCAACTTCAACAACAATATTAACTGCAAAAACAACAGCAATAGCCACGAATTAACAACCACAAAAGTAGAGGGAAAAAAAGCAACTACAAAAACAAAAATTCCTACAACAAAAACGAAAGCAAAATCTACAACCCAATAAGATCAACAACTACAACAACAACTAACAGCAGCATCATCAACAGCAACAATAACAACTAAACTACAAGAACAACAGCAATATCAACAACTACAAACGTAACTGCAACCATAATAAGAACAGCTACACGAGCAACAATTATAACAACAGCAGAAACTACAACTACACAACAAACTAAAACAATAACTACTGCAGATAGATAGACAGACAGTGGTGAATAAATAATAATGTTTTAGAGAGGTAAGTAGGTGCCACTATGTGCATTTTTCAGGCATTAGATTTTCCAGAGCATGTGGGATTTCGGATTGGTGTCGATGATGTTAGGTACTTACAACTCACAGTACACTACGATAACCTACAGTTGATTAAAGGTAAGATCAAATGGAATTAAATTATACTAGAAAATAACTAAGTAATAATTACTGTAATTAACACCAATATATATGCTAAACAATAGCATACAAAGCATAATTACTGTACATGCTTACTTACCGTTTTATATTGAAAATGTTTAGATTATAACCTTTTGAAATACTTTTGTATAATGCCGTCAATCGTTTGTTCACAACAAAATTCACCGGGGAAACCCGCTACTCGCACTGATACATTCACTGGTTTCATTAAAGTTCACATGAGCCAAATTATCTGAACTTGGTATGCGGTGTATAGTTCTTATCCGAGAAAGCTTGCCGAGCGTGCCTATTGAACCAGAGCCCATATTGTGGATGTATATAGATTGTGCCTCCCCTGCCTAAACTCTTTTGCCATTTGACTTAACTGAAGCATCCTACATATACAAACCACCATAGTCGGTTTGGGAGGCTTAATGGCTGATTTTATTATTATTAATATTATTATTATTATTATTATTATTATTATTATTATTATTATTAATTATTATTATTATTTTTTTTATTATTATTATAAAAATAATAATAATAATAATAATAATAATAATTATTATTATTATTATTATTATTATTATTATTTTTATTAATTATTATCTAATGCTTTAAAAAACATTAAAGTTCAGTCAACCTAGGCCTATAGACCAAGGCCCCCGGCATATTGCCTAGTTTCTGTCTCTTATACACATCTTTATTATTATTATTGCACAGGTATTCATGACAGCTCTGGTGTACGTATTTACTATACCCCTGAGCTTCGAAAATATGATTCAAGTATACTGACGATAGGTATTCCGTCATTTCGCTTGTATGTGATACCACCAAAAGAAAATGCATTTAAAGTGTACGGTTCGTGTGATAAGCAATGTTCAAATAAGGTGATGAAGTCAGCTTTAGAATTTTTAATGTTTTAGTTTAAACTATCTTTAAAAAAGTAATTAATCTTGATATCTGTATTAGGCGAATAACTGCTGCTACAGAACATCAAATTCATTTTATTTTATTTTATTTTTTATTTTTTTCATTTTCTTGATGATATGAATAATGAATTTAAGACTCAAATTAATGTTTTATTCTATTTAATTTTAGATACTTACTGAAGGTGATATGAAAGTATTTTCAGTCTTACTTCATGCACATTTAGCAGGTGTGTAAGTTTACCTGTTTTAATTAAGAAAGTTTAGAGATAATCACATATAAATGTTACTTAAATACGCCGAGAAAATACCGGTACTTATAAGAATTTGAATTATATACTTCACTAATTTTATATGCACATACTAGATACCCTTTCCTATAAAATCTAGTATTCTAAAAACATTATTACCTATCTAATCTAATAGCATTAAGTTTATGACTCCTGTCAATTGCTGTATTTTATGCGCTACTATATGAATGATGCTCAAATCATGTTATTAAAACATGAATAGATTCAATTATATATATAAAACACGTGTATTACCTTAATATTAATTGGCCTATACAATGTCTAAAATATTGTACTATGCACAGGAACTAGTATGCGGTTAACACACTTTCGGAATGGTGAATACATCGGAGAAATTGCACGAGATAGAGCATATGACTTCAATTTACAAGAAGAAAGAAAGCTAAAAAATCAATGGATCGTCAAACCTGTAAGTTATGTTAAAAAATTGATAATATATTATCATCTGACAATCTATTTGGAAAAGATTGAGATCAGTAACAAGCCGTATATCTTGGACTATAGTACTAACTTAGTAGGTTAAAATAGTCCATGGCAAACCTTTAAATATATATAAATATAAATAAAACCTTTATATATTGTAAAATGTTTCAGTTTATGAGCGATACATGCTGAAGTAATTGAAGAAAATACAGAATTGACGAAGAAAATACAGAATTGACAAAGAAAAGTGTATTGGACCCATACAAAAATATATAGCCATATCTCAATCGTGTTAACATATCTTATTTGTGGGAATGCAATGTTCTAAGTCAATTGTTCCTAACCTTAGGTCCACGGACCCCTTTCGGGTTTATAAAAAAATAATTGGGTTTCCTCCAAGTCAAATGGGTCCGCAGGGGTCCTAGAAAATGTTGGAGTCCGCAAAAATGTTGGGGTACGCTAGAATCATCCAGGTTAGCACGATCTGTAGTACCAGTAATTTTAACACCTTTTATCTATTTATATTTGTGTATATGGTGCACTGCTTCTTAACCCTGGAAAGAGAATTTCATGTGAACTTTTACGTGACAATAAAGAGAAACTTGAACTTGAAGGTTAGCAATATCTGCAGCAGTGTAAGGTATTACTTGCGTAATCTAGGAAGGATACGCAGAGTTATTGACCAGGAAACACGTCATACAGCGGGCAGTTCTAGTCTTATCACGAATAGATTACTGTAACTTTCTCTATTATAGTAGTCTCTTAAAAAATCTTGATACACTGCAGAGATTGCAGAACTCCGCTGCTCGCTTGGTCTTTTCATGTGAACCTCGCACACACTCTGCTCCTCTCATAAATAAACTCCATTGGCTGCCGATTAATTGCAGAATTAAATTTAAGGTAATTATATTTGTCCAAAAATGTATCTGTGGTCTTTCTCTTGCGTATTTATGTAGTTTTCTCGACCCACGTGTTCCGTTCCGATCCCAATCATTCATTCATTCATTTGGTAGTATCCAACTCTCCGTATGTTGCAAAACTCTTATAAGATTTAGATGTACGAAAGCTAAAATTTGGCTCTTTCCTCACAACTTTTGGTTGCTTCTGATATTAACGCCAGACCAATCATCTTATGCATGTCTCTTGCAGTACAGTCGTATTCGTAGGTATTAACGTTTATCATACCACACATATTATAGCTTTTAGGCTATAAGCTAAATTTTGGCTCTTCACAACTTTTGGTTGCTTCTGATAGTAACGCCAGACCAATCATCTTATGCATGTCTCTTGCAGTACATTCGTATTCGTAGGTATCAACGTTTATCATATCACACATATATAGCTTTTAGGCTATATTAACATTGTAATAAATTATACTTATTTTTGCAACAGGGAGATGACTTATTTCTAGAATGCACATACAATACAATGGATAGAGAGACAGTTACATATGTAAGTTTATGTTTGCAATCGGTTTGTTTAAACAAATCGATTGCGCAGATTATATTTATAGAATACATTTAATATATTTAAAAAATTAGCAATTTAGGCAATATAAAAAAAAAACAACCAACCAACCATATAACAAATTATCTGAACAACCAAACAATTGGTCAACGAACCAATCATTAGTATAATATTAGTCAATCAATAAACCAATTAAACGAACAAATAAATATAAATAATTGATGAGCAATATTGCTGTTGACACCTTTTTCTGCTTTCAGGGAGGCCCTGCAACAACAGATGAAATGTGCTTGGCGTTCTTATCTTACTATCCTAAAGCGAATGCTGGGATATGTTACAACACTCCTAATCCGATTAACCTAGAAAATCTTCTTAACTTGGGTGATATAAAGTGAGTGACACTTAGTTACCCTAAAATTCGCGAGATAAAAACACCAAGTATTAGACCTATATTGATTAATTTGCCTAACTTTGAATAGTCATGGCAAGGTTGTGTGGACCTGTAATTTGCCTAAGAAGCTACTTGTAAGATTTGCTACTGCAGGTAGTAATGGGTGGAATCTTTCCACAGTAGTATTTGTTTCATCAACACACAATTTATACTATAATTTTACGTTGGTTAATTGCTAAATAGATGATGTGTTATTGCCTAAATTCCATTATGGCTGTAACGTCACTGAATTTTTTAATTAATAACTCAATCCATTAATTTGATAGTTTGGTACCTTACCAGCTCAGTTGTTTATGCTTTTGTGATTAGATGCCATTATTTAGTGCAGTGCCCCTACAAACTCTCAATATTAGGATACATAATGTATTATTCTTTCATCAAGAAACAACACTTTACGTCAAGCTATTGATGGTATGGAGTGGACTGATGAAAGAAAAGATGCTGTCCGTCAGTGGTACAAGACGTCCCGATTAGGAAAGTGCACAAATCACTCTGTACATTCAGTTTTTCCAGAATATACTTTACTTCCGGTAGGTTTAATCATTTTATTTAAAATATCGGGAACCTATGTCGATATTTTAACTATTTGTATAATATATATTATATAATAAATATAAAAAAAAACAAATGAAAATTAAATAATAAACAGAACTAGGTTGTTACTGAATTTACAAAGGAAAATATAGTGAGTTATACCACGCCTATTTCTAAGGGATACGAGCATCAAGAAATGTTATCACCACTGGTCTTTGCACCCATAACTGGCACACAGTGTAACCTCCTTCAATCCATGGGAGTATTCCTTTTAGTTGTTTTTTGTTTTTTTCTTTTCTTTTTCAAGTTAATGCTTAGACAGACAAATACAATCAATGGCACATCATCTTACCTGGCACTCATTTATACTCTTGAGCGGACAGAGACAAATGTAGATAAATTACAGTGCCAAATGATATAAATATATAAATATAACAATATTATTAATATATGACACCTGTTACAATTATAGCCATCAAATTCTTCGAAATCTGCCAATTAATTGTTATATTTTTAAGTTATATTATTTTGTACCAAATGTTACTGGTTTTAACTAATACATTTATGTGTACACTTTGCAATCTGTCGCATTTTATTTAATTTTTAACAGATATGTTTTAAAACTGATTTATCAGTATTAATATGCTATATAAAATTTAACAGTAATTGTACTATATTTCATTATTTATTTACATCTGTGCAAAAAAAGTTTAACTATGCTGACCTAAATTAAACTAAATAAGTATGACTGTATGCATACTATGCATACTTTGTTTCCATCGAAAAGGTAAGGCCTAGCACCATTTAAATGACGAACATGTGTTAAAATTAGTAGTATTAAAGGAAGAAGAGGAATAAGGAAAGCACTCCGGCTTGTAATTTTGTTTTTTACAAAAAAATATATTTAATTTATTTTTTTTTTATTTCGTTTTTAAAAGCTTTTTTCTGCACCATCCGTGAACACAATATAGTTTTGTAATTAAAAAAAATAATGAAGTCTAAATAATATGCAAAGGTTGATGCTTGTTTGCACATGAATATGTGGTGTTATATACTAATACGACCATTGACGGTCCCGCCTAATAATTCCATTTGATGCAATCTCAATCTGCACTTGTCGTGTGACACATTGTGCATACTGATAACATACTGTACAGAAAGCGAGTAAGCGTGTTATTTTCCAAATAGGTAAAACAAATAAGACAGGCGCTAAACCACTGATTATTACATCCTGTTTCTTTATTTTACACTGTTATAACTTATCTATTTGTTATATATTAGGCTTACCGATAATCAGTAACAAGTACTTTTTTTTCTGTTGTAGGGATATAGCGAATATGTCGAGACGGAAAGTCTGGAATATCTTATCAATTTACAAAGCCAAATTGTTGAACATGACAAGTGTTCAGCTGCTGTGAATTTAAAAGCAGCTTTGCTGAGTGCTGTCACATGTGTAATAGCTGTTACACTTTTCTCAATATAGGTATAAAATATTGAGTTCGATTTGATGGTAATTTTATGGTTCAAGGACAATTGATATGGATCTAGTTGTCTTCCAGAACGCATACTCTTAAACACCATATTGATCTAGAAAAAAAAAAACGATACAGTACAACGATTACTTTAATAGCTTCCTTTTAAACTATATAAAAACAGCAAAGGAAAACAACCTTGGATCAATCACAAAATTTCACATCGTGGACGGCCATCAACTTAATTGTTAATTTTGAAACAATAAGCTTAATTACATAAATCATTTATTTAGCCCTATTTCATGACGATCAGAGCGTTTTGCTTTTCTTTGTATGTTTTTAACTAATATACTCAGTGGCGATGAAATACATCTAACAGAAGAAAACCGAAAAGTGAAAAATAAATATATAAAAATAAATAAAATAAAACAACACTTTGTAATAGTACAAAACATAGTAGTCTCTTCTTTTAAAATCAAAATTCTTCAATTATACAAATTAACAATGTTATTTTGTAAATGTTCAAACGCAAATACGTCACGATACTGTGCAAATATAAATATCCCTATCCACTCAGTTATTTTTACGATAATTGGATTTTTTCTTTGTTTTTCTCCATTCATTAAAACACCATTACTGTCTGTCTCAATTTAAATTGTTTATACTTACAGCTCAGACCAGATAATTTTCAACTTCATGGCAGTTCATGAGTGCATTAACTTATTTAAATATCCACAAGCCTACTTTAAACATTTGCATAATTGCTGCATAATACGGATAATCATCTATTATGCACAACCCACTACCTATTGTTACCAATTACTTCCCATTCTCATAAGCATGTGCCTCAACAAAATGTTTTTTGACCCAAACACTAATGCATCTGCTAAGTTAAAAATACCATTGCTTATGAGCAATTAATAGTACAGAAAATTCCAGGCTAAGAATTTAATGTGTGCAAACAATAGTAGCAAATTCATATTAGATATTAATAGAAATCATTACAAGGAATGGTAAATACTGATAATTCAAAATAAATTATTTTCAAAGATAATTTGAAAACCATAAAGACAATAGTTTTTTTTTTTATTATTTTTTAGTTTTTTTTTTTGTCACAATATTAAATAACAGCAAAAACAAGAATAAAAAGCAAGAGAAACAAGAGCAAAGGTAAAATCAACAACAGAAACGGAAACGCAGCGGTAGCGACGACCATAACAAAGACGCTGGCGGCAGCATTGACAACTTCTAATACTTCTAATACTTATATGATAGACCTACATCTCAATGTTAAATAATTAATTGCATGCGTTGTTTCACAGATTTATCAATATGTTTATATAATTGAAATTAAAGGATTACAGTTGGTTTTTCTTTTCAATATATTATTAGAAATTACGAAACAACTTAGGAAAATGAATAGTTGATCGCAAAATCACTCAATTCGTAGGCCTAATGACTATGTTTTGCGTTCAAGAAAATACAAACGTATTTCAACCAATTTGTTTAGAAATTTTGGAATAATAGTTTTAACCAGGAGCTGTGCTTTGAAATCTTAATTTTTTACATACTTTCAATAAATCTGTAAATGTGTTTTCCGGATTGCTTAGCTAGCGTATTTCTTTAAAGCGATATATTTAAAGACCCATTCCAAGCAAAATTTCAGTTGTTAAGAAAAATCTATTTTTTTTATAATGTTAAAAAAATTTATAAATTTAATACAGAATGAAAAAAAATGTAAAATATGACTGAAATTTGATTTGTTTGTGTTCCACACAAAAAAATAAATGCGGATAAATTTTTCATGTTTGATTTTGCGATAGGTCGTGCGAATAAATTTAGTAGGCGCCGAAAACATTAGCCTATCCAACACTGCTAGGCTAGGCCTAGCCTTACCTCGATTTAGGTTCTGTTATCACACATAAAAACGGCGACATGATATTTTCCGTTGCTAGTATTGACAATTGTGAAATATAATATTCATAGGAATTATTTCAAATTTGTTAAAAAAAAAACTGGTTCCGACCGATATTTTGACACTTAAACAAACACATCTCAGGCCTACTCGAACGACCGCATTGTGCGAGATGCGAAGTACAAAAACTAACCCATATAGAGGGCGCACTTTATTGACTATATAAAGCATACATAAAAGCGAGAGTATTCCAGCGAATGCGATCTACAACCTCCGAATTTGCCTAGTAACGAAGAATTCGTCTAGAAAATGGTAATGTTCTATGAGAAATAGTCTGTATTTCTCTTTTTTTTATTCTTTTACGTAAAACTAAAATTTATGCCAATATTTTTCCATGATTTATAATAATTAAAGTAATGCACACGCCTTTTTTCTAAAAAAAAAATCTGTTTTTAGTGAAATTTTGCCGGGAATGGGGCTTTAAAACTGTCGATGATTTTAGGTGAGGCCGGCCTTGTTTTAGTTCTGGGTCTGGTGGGTAATATCGAGCTAGTAATTCATGAGATTACTGCTGATATTGTTGAAGCTATAGCGCCACCAAGCGTTACTTTCTCACAATACCTAACATTTATCAAATGCAGTGTAATTTATAAGTAGATGTTTGTTTGATAAATTAATTATCAACAGTGTAACGAATTTTCGTGATTATTGCTGTAAATCAGCATTTTATATAGCGGTTACAATGCTCTTTTAGTTTACAAACTCAATCTTACTATTTTCTACTCCTCAAATGTCCTATTTCCAACGTGTCACCGCACTGCAGATTAGCACATAGTAGTTCACAGCAGGATTGATCAAAACACTAGGGATATCCCCATACATTGTTTACTCGGTAAAATTACTTAATGGCGACAACTGGTTGTCGCAAAATCTAATGTTCACAATCAACTATTACTAAATAAAATGGGCATCACAGATATTACTGTAAATATAATATAGTATATACCTCGTACATATACACAATATACAATACACTCTATTTCTCTAAACGGACTCCTTTTAGGGTAAAAGAGAAAATTCAGCTTCTTGGTAACAGAAAAATATATATAAATAACGATGTGCGGACACCACATTTTCACAACTGAATGTACAAAACTAAAATAAGCTCATGATTTTTGAAACAAAATTGGCGAGATTAGACTTCTCTTTGTTACTACTTGCGTTAAATATCTGGTACATTTTCATGACATTGGGTCTGGTGTAATAGTCGCTCCCGTTCAATATTTAACAGGGGACATACAAATAAGTAATATAATTCGTCCCAACATTATTAAGATTACATAGCATACATTTGATATCAATATCATGACAGAGTTATCTTTTATGAAACGGTAGCTTATGATTACCACATCTAAACCTACATAAATCAATTCTATCCTTATTGATTAGTGTTTGTTCGAACTAAAGTTCGAATTTAATATTTCTATAATTTTCACACATCCTATCACTGTTTAAATCAGACAGCCATTCTTGTTTTGATATATCATCTAATCGTAATCCAATGCTTTTGACTATCCATTTTTTATTTAGATAATTACATTCATTCCATACATAGGACATACAACAATTGTCAAGTGCACTTTTAATCTAAGTTACTTGTCCATTTTAAAAATATATGTTCCCTGATCATGTAATCTCTTCAACAGCTTAAACATAATATTTGACAGTTTACTCTGTTTACCTTCCAAAATACGAACCCAGAAACTTAATCTTTACTCAATTGTCACTTGGACTTTTGATCTACCTACTTCACCCAAGACCATACTGCTGGGAGTAGATTTATTTTAATTTCAATATATTTTTCAAATATTTTCTATAAAACACTTCAATCTGGTCTACTTTTTGAAACCCCCAGACCTCACAGCCATAAATATCAAATAATTCGCATTGAATATATGCAGGCAAACCTATTATTCTGGCCTTTGTTAACATACTATACATTGCTGGTTTTGCTGGAGAAACTTGCTTATTAATGACTTTATTGAAATTACCATTATAATTAAATGTTGTGCCAAGGTAAACATAATCATTAACAGTGTGAATTTGTTCGTCACCAAACGTAAAGACCGGTATGTTTCTCCTTTTGAAAAAATAACAATTTTAGTTTTACTTGTATTTACTGAGAGAAGCCACATGTCACACTATTTTTTAACAGCGTGTAATGCTTTCTGTAACTCTGTTGGACTTTCAGCCAAAATAATCGTGTCATCTGCATATAAAACATATAATCTAAAGAACACCTCTATATCGTTATCACTCAAGACAGTGTTAAATTCACATGCCAAATGATCTAAGCCTTTATAATGACAACTTACAAAGAATTCAAAATCATTAAGGTACACTGCAAATAAAAGTAGTGATAGGTTTTCTCCCTGACGAACCCCAGTAGTACATGGAAAAAAACTCAAATACAACATTATTTTGCTTTACACATGATTTTGCGGTAGCATACATATTATATATGACCGTGATAACTCTGCCGTTGATACCACAAGAAATAAGTTTACTCCAAAGCAATGATCGATCAACCAAATCGAACGCTTTTTTAAAGTCAACAAAGGCGCAGTACAGTCGTTTACGTTTGTTAAGATATAATTCTATTATAGAATGTAGTACAAATGTGTGATCACTTGTTGAATATCCCTCCCTAAATACTACTTGTTCCTTCCCAAGTATCCCCGCGCATTCTAGGTACAACGAAAGGCGATCATTGATTGTAGCTGTGAATAATTTCCCAATACAACTTAAGAGAGTTATGCCACGATAATTATCAGCATCATTGGGGGAGCCCTTCTTTCTATATATTAGGACTATCACACCTATACATCAATCATGTGGAATGATACCAGTTTCTGGTATTAAGTTAAATAATCGTGTGATTACTTCAATCAGTTCTATTGGGCTATGTTTAAGATATTCATTGATGATATTGTCAATGCCAGCTGATTTATTATTACGAAGTTTTAGAATTACCAGTTTAATTTCATCAACGGTGAAAGGCCTATGCAAGCATGAGAAACGAGATACACAAGATTGACTTGATATAACATACGGTAAGCATTGTGCAGGGAAGTACTGTTACGTTTTTGACTTTTACTTATTTTTAACACACACACACACACACAATAAACTATCTTTAACAGCTAGTATATATCTGTGTACTCTAGAGCCTATATAGCTAGGTTTTCCCTTATTCTTCCACGTGCACAAACCCTCGAAGCCTCTGCTATCAACAAAGGCCAAATACTGTACTGTACATCATGACCTTAAACTCTTATATAGGGTGATGTATGCAAATTAAGGCTTCAGCGATGGACATCACTGTGATTGTGATTGGTGGTTTGAAATCAGCGATTGTGATTGGTGGTTTGAAATCAGCGTAGCGGAATCTACATGTTAAATTTCAAAAACACTTTCACCCACCCTCTCTTTATACCAAATATATGAGGCGTGGATTTAAAAAAAGATATGGTAGTTGGTCTTGTCACTGAAAAATACCCTCGAAGCCTCTGCTATCAACAAAAGCCAACTAAAATACTGTACTGTACATCATGATCTCAAGCTCTTACATATGGTGATGTCTGTAAATTCAGGCTTCAGC